AAGCTGGGTCTGGGTCCAGATTGCAGAGCTGGTGAAGTGGGCAGAGATGTGCCGTACAGACTCCTCGGGCACTTTGAAGTTCACGACAGTAATTAACAGGCCGCTGGCCTTCCAAGCAGATTATGTCCCTAGCCCACCCCTGTCGGCCCCGGAGATGCCTGTCCGGTGAGTCTTCAGAGATGGGTGGTGAAGCCTGGCCCTGGAAATCCAGATTGCCAGAAATAGATCACCTCTCAAATCTCGGCGCTCGGCACGGTGCCCGGCACCCAGGGGACGCCCAACAAATGGTCAGACCGCAAAAGAGTAGAGAGTCCTGGAGCGCGCCTCCGCGGCCGTGTCCTCCTGCGGCAGCGTTCCGGGCAGCGGGGGATGGGGTCGGGGCCCTGCGGCGGGTCAGGACCCGGCCGCCGAGCGGCCGGTCAGCAGCGGCAGCGGCAGCGGCAGCGGGAGCCTCGGCCGCCGCCCGCGGCGCAAGTGGGAGGTGTTCCCGGGCCGCAACCGCTTCTACTGCGGCGGCCGCCTCATGCTGGCCGGCCACGGCGGCGTCTTCGCACTCACGCTGCTGCTCATCCTCACCACCACCATCCTTTTCTTCGTCTTCGAGTGAGTTCCGCGGCACCCCACTACCCTCCCCGCCCCCGCCCCCCGAGGCGCCCCTTACCCTCCGGTGCCCGTTGCCCCCTGCCGCTCACCTCGCCTTCCCCAGGCCTTGATGGACACGCCAACTCCTCTGGTCGCCTGCTGGGCACCCCGTCTTCTTCCACCTCCCCGATTCTCCACCCTTTGCAGCACCTGCCAGGTACCCTCCTTTCCCAGCCCCTCCTTGGCGGTCATCTTCCCTGTGCCTCTCAGAGTCTGCCCTCAGGCCTCTCCCATCCCCTTGCTTATCCCCCATCTGTCCCTCCTGGTCCCCTCCAGCACTCCCAGACTCGGCATCTCCCCCGTGCCCATGTGGATCATTATCTAAGCTGGTCCCCTCCGTCCTGCCTGCCAGCCGCCTCGTCCCGGCCCTCCCCTAGTACCCCCTCCTTCCCTGACACTCTGCCTTTGCCAGCTTCTGGGCAGGAACACCGCCCTCCCCCATGTCCCTCCAGGACGCCCATCCTTGCTGCCATCTCAGAAGCTGCCCCAGGCCTTTGCAGCTCCTCACCTGTCCTCTGGACTGTCTCTTGCCACCAGCTTTTTTCTGACCCCTCTAGGCATCTTATCTCTGTATCCCTTCCAGGCAACTTCTGAATGTCTTCCTTGGCCTCTGGCTATATACTCTCACCTCCAGTTTCCCCAGCCATCTTCCCTATTCCCTCCAGGGTCCCCTGGTCATCTCTCTACTCTCAGACCCGACCCCCGCACTTTCACCTCAGTGGTTCTCACCCTAGACCCTCACCTATCTTGGGGCCTCCCAGACCTCCCCTTTCCCCCTCAGCACCTTCCTCAGTTTCTCCAGAGCTCTCTGCTCTTCCCTCTGCCTCTTCTGGTCCCCCAGACATCTCCCAGGCCCCTGCCCCCACCTCCTGACTTCCTGGCTTTGTTTCCCTTCCCAAGACTCCAGAGCACCTTCTGGCTGGTTCCATAGCAGGAACAGCTGCAGCGCCTTGTTATTTTTCAAGAGTTCAGAGTATTTCCGTGTGACAGGTCATATTTGCCTCCGTGGGCATTTGACCTCTTCATGTCCCCAGTGACCTGGTACTGGCCCACACAGGTTCTCCATTTTAGGGATGGAGGAAGGGACGTACCAGGTCACATCTTTGTATTGGAAGTTTTCCACTGTGCCCTTGATCTCCAGCTTGAGCCGCCTGCTCCCTGATTTCCTTGCATGCTCACACACTCGCGCTGCCCGAGTCCCACCTCTCCCTCCTCCACTTCCCATCCTTCTCTGTGGTCTTACTCAGTTACCCAGGTGGTCAGGAACACCATCTCTGCAGCTCACAGAGCGAGTTCAGATCTTAGCTCCACCAGGCACTGAGTGACTTCGGCGCGTCGCTCTGCTTCTCAGACCCCAGTTTCCATATCTATGAAACAGGATTTATGACACTACCCACCCCCTCAGGGTGTCACGAGGATGACCTGAATCTAGGCATGTAAGCTTTTAACTGGTAATAGGTGTTTAGAGCTGGCTGCTGCTATTACTTGTCATCACCAGAAAACCCTTCCCAAGGGCCATGGTTGGGCTGCCGCAAAGACACGGGCCCCCAGGTACCCTTTCAGCTGCCAGGTCCTGTTTCTGCAACCTTGGGCTTCCCCTTGAAGCAAGATGAGGACTTTCTACAAATTAGCTTCTCCCTTTCAGCTTGCCTTTCTGACTCAGGGTGGATAAAAAGTTCTGGAATAATGAGCAAGCAGAAGCTCTGGGGGAGCTCCCCCAGCCCCCAGCACGGCCCCTGGGCTGAGTTTCAGACCCACCTCCGTGGGCCGGCCCATGTGGGTCTTGTGAAAGTGCCTTTTCCAGCCTCCCTCGGCTCCACCAGGTCCTTCCAGCCAGGGCCGTAGCTGAAGCAGGAGGAAGTGGTGCCTGCTCAGGCTGGCCCCTGTGACCCTGTAGTGTGGGATTTGGTCCGTTCAGAATCAGGACTTCCTCTGGGCTGAGGGGATGTCTTCATGGGTGCCAGGCTTGTCCCCAGAGAGGGAGCAGCAGCGAGGACTTCTGGGTTCCAGGAGGGTTGGTAGAGCATCTCATCTTTGTCTCTGCTCCTCCTCACCTGGACTGGTGGCGTTGGCAAGAGGGTCCGGGTTCAGGCTGAGAGCTCACCTGGGCCTGGACTGGGATAGGGGCTCAGTGGGGGCCCCGTGTAGGGGAATGCTGTCAGTGAGGGCCTGGAAGCTGAGAGGACTCTCCCAGGGCTTTCAGCAGGGACCTTTCCTGCTGTGAATGGTGTTCTCTTCTGTTGGGTTTGAAGCAATATTGCACAGGCGTCCCAGCTTCTGCCCTGCTTCCTGCCCAGCGCAGCAACCACAAGGCTCCTTTAATTCCACGTCAGATCTGAATATCCCGTGGCTCTCTAGGTAAGAGCTGGAGCCCTGGTGATGGCTTCCTCCCTGTCCCATCTCCTCCCACTGTCCCTGTGCCCTCCCTCCCAGGCACGTTGGCCAGCGTGTGCACGCCAACCTCAGGGCCTTTGCATGGTTTGAGATATCTTTCCCTTAGAGAGCCACCTGGCTCCCTCCCACACTTTCTCCTGTCCTTCCCTGACCATCCCTATAATAGAGGCAACTGCGCCCCAGCCTCCTTTCACTTCTGCCCTGACTTATTCTCCAAAACACTTACCTCCATCTGACATATGGTACTTATGCTTTTTGTTAGCTCCTTGCCTCTCTCTATGAGAACAGGAATTTATTCTCACTGTTGTACCCAGGGTGCCAAAAACAGGCAGTACGCAGTATGTAGTACACACTTGATACAGTAACTGTTTTACAGTACAATAGAAAATATATGTATTTGTTGAATGAAATAGACAGAACACTTCCTGGGAGCCTGGAGACCCCCATCCTGCTATTGCCTGGTTGGGTGACTTGGGATCTGCCTGTAGGCTTTGGGGTCCTCCTTTATTAAAACCAGGGGGCCAGGACTTGCTGTCTGTGAGGGCTCTGCAAGTCTCAAACTTCAGGCCTTCTCCATTGCCCAAGAAGTCTAGTTGTACGTGAACATTTTTGAGTTGTCACGTGGGTGACATGAGGGCCCAGCTCCGTTTGAGGCTCAGACCGGGGACCACTGATGTGTTTGGAGCAGCACGTGGCCCCCTGGGAGCCCTTGGTTTGGGTCTCTGCTCCTGAAGGGAAGGGCCTCTCTGGAGACCAGAACCTCCATCAGGGGAGGCTCCAGAGTCAGTGTAGGTAACCCACAGGTTTGTTCCTGCTGCTTCGCCGGCTCCTGGAACCTGGGCTGACTCAGGCCTCCCAGCGGTCAGTCATCCCCAGATAGTAGCTTCTCAGCCCACCAGGGGCCACTCTGGCTCTGGGACAGAAGGCCACGTAGGACGGTGGTTAATAGTATGGGTGGGCCTCAGCATTAGACCCATGCGCGGGCTGTTGGGGCTCACCAGGGTCAAGGGGCCTGATAGAACCGAGCTGGGATGCCAGTCTTTGGGTGACAGTGCAGTGGCTGGACCAGGCTCTTCCCTCAGCCCCCCCTTTACCTGGCGGACCCGACTCATTCAGGTCCTAGCTCAGGCTTTCTCTCCTCCAGCCAGTCTTTCCTAACTGTTCTGCTACTTCCCCCTTCCCCATTATAACATGCAAACCCTGTGTGGCAATTCTTTGTTTATGTGTCTGTTTTCCCCACTAGACTGAGCCTCATTGAAGGAGCAGGGGAACTCTTGTCTTACTCACAAGCAGCCATAATCCCTGCTGCTTGTTAAAGGTATTGCCTTTAAGACTGGAATTGTCGTGTTAGTTACTCAGTCGTGTCTGACTTTTTGCGACCCCATGGACTGTAGCCCACCAGGCTCCTCTGTCCATGGGATTTCCCAGGCAAGAATACTGGAGTGGGTTGCCATTTCCTTCTTCAGGGAATCTTCCCGGCCCAGGGATTGAGCCCCGGTCTCCTGCACTGCAGGTGGATAAGCACCTGAGCCACCAGGGAAGCCTGAACAGACCTCGGTAAACACATGTGGAGTGACCGAAAAAATGAGTGAACGTTGTCATGGATGAGTCATCTCAAGTGACAGTCCAGTTCATTGGTGGTGGCTGCCTGAAGCTCTGTGTGTAGAAGGATTCAGAGGTTGCAGCCAAGTGCAGGGGTTGAGTGCCAGGACCTATTGGTCACGTCTGCCAGGCACTCAGGGATAAAGGGCAGGGATCAATTAGTGGTGTCTGCTCTAGGCATGGAAGGGCAGGGCGTAAGGACGTAAGGGTGTGTGGCTACACTCACCCAGGGGCCGTACCTCTGCATCCATTCAGGACCATGGTGGTGGCTACTGGGATGACAACGCCTGCTTGGCGATGCAACCCTGTGCCCCAGGCAGCCCCCGGGGTATCTGCTCATGTCTCTTTCCCTCTTTTTCCAGCTGTCCTTTTTTGGCCCGCCACCTGACTCTCGCCATCCCCATCATTGCTGCCATCCTGTTTTTCTTCGTCATGAGCTGCCTGCTGCAGACAAGTTTCACCGACCCCGGAATCCTGCCCCGAGCCACCGTCTGTGAGGCAGCCGCCCTGGAGAAACAGATCGGTGAGGCTCCTGCTCCAGCTGCGGCTGTGTCTGCAAACTGCACCTTCCTTGATGTGAGGGGAGGCCTGATTTTCTCTTCTCACAGTGTGCTAGGCTCTGGGGGCCTGGGGGTGAGCAGGGCCAGCTGGAGCTGATGCTAAGAGTGCAAGAAGCAGAGGATAAGCAAGTGAGCAGATAAGCAAGAAATACCTGCACAGGAGGGCTGGTGTTGGCAGCCGGACAGTCCTGAGTACTTACAGGAGGCCGGGCTCTGTGTTCACCTCTGTATATGCATGATCATGTTTAATCCCTTGGTAATCCCATGAGACAGGTACTGTTGTTATTCTCCTTTTGCTGATTAATTACCTTGGGTGTCTCGGAAGTTAAGTAAATGGTCACAAGTCACAGAGTAAGTGAAAGAGCCCGAAAAGGACCCTAGGCACTCTAACCAGAGACCCTGCTCTTAAAAATTCATACACACTTATTCATTCACTCCTCAAACATTTACTGAGCCCCTACTACGTGCCAGGCACCTTTTCTAGATACAGTAGCAAACAAATCCGATGATAATCCTTGTCTTCTTGGAGCTGACATTCCAGTGCGAGGAGAAAGACAGTTAACAAACATCTAGGCTGTGACACAGAGAAGGAAGCTCCGGGAGGCAGGGTGAGAGCTGGGGGAGGATGTACAGTTGTAAATAGGGGGGTGGAAGGCCTTGTGAAGGAGCTGATCTCCGAGCAAAGACACAAAGACCCGCAGAGATGAGGGGTTGAGCCACCGCCGCTGTCTGAGGAGAGCTCGCTGGCGTGGGGGGTGGGCTGGTCTAGATGAGGTGGTCAGGCCGGCCCTCAGGAGGAGGTGGCACTTGAGGTGAGCCAGTCACATGTGGCCTGGACACAGTACAAGCAAAAGCTGGGAGCGGTGAGCAGACTGCTGTGTTTGAGGGGTGGCAGGAAGGCCAGCATGGCCACAGAGGACCTGTGCTGCCAGCACCCAGGTGGCCCTTGGCCTCCCGGAGGCGCTGCACAGGTTGCTCCCCCAGATGGCTGGGCACCGCCGGCGCCAGGGCCTTAATCTCTGCCTGCTCCACCCTGGCTTCTTCCTGCTGAGCAGTGACGTGGATGGTTGCACACCTCGGGGGTTTCCGGTTGTGGTTGGCTCCTTCCCCTAACAGGTTGACTCTCAGACAGACTTTTGAATAAACACCCAGCTGCCTCTGAAGAGCCCTGGTAGCCCGCGAGGGGCAGAGCCCTGCAGCATCCGTCCACTGATGCTCTGGAGCAGCTCGGGAGGCAGGGGGCGAGGGCATGCTCGCCCAAGCCTGTCTGTTCTTTGTCTCCTCCCGCTGCCCTGGCCTGTCCTCAGCCACACCCTCGGTTGCCTTCTTCCTCGGCCTGCATCCAGCTTCCTTCCTTCCTTCTCGCACCCCTGGGCCGCTTGCCTCTCTGCCTCCCGGCGTCCACCATTCCAGTGTCCCAGGTCTGACCCGGCAGCTGGTTGCAGGCAGCCCCGTTTCTCCTCCCTCCAGGTCGGGGCTAATGAGGCCAGATTAATGTCCGACTCAGCCTGGGCCTCAGAGGTCTGGCTGCCTGGCATCCTCCGGCCTCCCTGTGAGCTGTTGGGGTTGTACTGACCAGAATAATCCCCAGGTTCGGGGAGAGCCTGACTGTGCTGAGTGCGTCCCATCCTTTATTCCTACAGATCCTCGCAGCTATGAGGCTGGCTGGGCTGCTGCAGAAACTGAGGCAGGGGGTCCCACGGCCCTGGAGCCTCGATTCCCAAATCCTCTGTTTTCTCCTCTGGGATGGTGGCCGAGACACATCCCAGTCTTCCACGGGCATATGCACGGGTCTCAGTTCAAGTGTCTGGGAAGCCTGCGTGATCCCAGTGGGGCCATACCTTTGTCGTGCCTTCCCAGAGCTTCTGGCCCTGGGTTGTTTCAGAATCATCAGGCAGGCCCAGCAGTCTTTCCTGGGTGGTGAGTGGGTTGTTTACTTTGTTTGCTCGTGGGGGCTGAATGCACCAGCCTCTGTGAGGCCCTCCTTGCTTCCCTCAGTAGCCGATGGAAAAACGGTTGGAATGTCTCCCAATTAGATGTCATCGGTTTGGCCATTCATGTGTCAATTCTGTATGCTGACTCCCGACTGCTGGGAGAGGAGGCATGGAGGTGGGGGTGGGGGGTATGAATCTGATGTGAACCCTCCTTCTGGGGATCTCCAGGCTTGCTCAGTCCCTGGGGGAAGCCCTGTCTGGCCGCCACAGGTGAGATCAGGCTTTGGAAGAGGATAGAAGGAACCAGGAGTGTCTTGTGCTGAGAGGTTTCAGGGAGGCTTCCTGGAGAGGCTTCCATGAGCCAAACCCTGCAGTGTGAGTGGACTTCAGACATAGGAAGGTGTGTGAGGGGAGCCCCCTGTGTCAGTGGGCCCTGAGAAGAGGACAGTGGCACAAAGGGGCCGGTATGGATGCTGAGCAGGCAGTGTTGGCTGGACACGGGTGCTTCGGAGAATTTGGAGCATGGGGTGGAGACAGTCTTGTGGACTCCTGAGTGTCAGGGTTGGAAACATCCCTTTGAGAACAGTTGCCCAGCCTGGAAGGTGCCATCTTTGGGGCCTTTGAATTCTGAACTTGAACTGGCGGCTTTTTCTCAAGGTGAAACACATTTTCTTAAAAAGGACCAAAGTCACTGTTCCTTTTCAAAAAATGTTTATTTATTTTTAATTGATTGATGATTGCCTTGCAACATGGGTTTGATTTCTGTCATGCATCAACATGAGTTAACCACAGGTGTACCTATGTCTCCCCGCTTCTTGCGTCTCCCTCCCACCCATTCTCACTCCTCTAGGTTATTACAGAGTGCAGTTTGAGTTCCCTGAGTCATCCAGCAGATTCCCACTGGCTGTCTCTTTAGCAGTGGTCATGGAGAAGGTGGTGGCGGCAGCAGTGCCCAGAGCCATGGAGAGCCCACCAGGTCTTGGCCCGCGCTGTCACTGAGCCTTTTCGAGAAGGTTGGGGGCTGACTCTGAGGCGGGTGATGTTGTTTATATAAACATGAGCTGGTCACTGGGGCCCTGCATCCGTGCAGACAGTGTGACCTTCTCGCTTTGGCCCCACAGACAGCAATTCCAGCCCCACCGGATCTGGCTCGAGGGCTCCCACCCTTTAAGGACCATCTGGGATGGGGTGGCCAGCGCCTCACAGTTTGCCCACGACGGTCCCTGTTTTAGCGGTGGAAGTCTGGGGAAACCCCAGAGGCTCAGGCCGACGGGGCTGATGGGCCAGCCTGGGCTGAGCCCCTGAGTTGACAGCCGGGGAGGCCGGCATCTGGACCACCTGCAGGCTCTGGGCAGGTGGAGAAGAGGTAGGAGGTGGCAGCATTGCTCCTGAAAGCCCCAGGTGTGATGGGAGGTCATGGAAACACCCGAAATCGGGTGACAGACACTCCTCTTGCCACGGTTACAGCTCACACAACAGAGACAAGCCACACAGCAGGTCACAAACCACATCCTGTCTGTCTCCAGGATGTCTCCTGTGGGGTCCTTCTGAAGCCCACTGCCCTGGGAAAGACAGCTCATTGTCCACCCCGACTGGCCCAGTGCTCCACCGGCCACTCTCCCTTCGGTCATGGTCATCTCTCCAAGGTCCACGTTAGACCCGCCCCCGCCCCGCCCCCCAGGCCAGAACATGGGCCGCTCCCCAGTGCCCTCAGCCCCATTTCCTGAAGGTCGGCCATTGACATACAACCTGAGTGGTTTTTGCCCTTTTGGCATCTCACCTTGGTACCCTCCTTTATTTAGAGTTTTCCTGTAAATGGCTTGCTTTTAGATGTATTTTTCCACGGGAAAATGTGTATCACTCCTGTTAGCAGAAGCCACTTGCTCCAAGTAGAAGATAATCTTAAGGACAAAAGTGTAACAGTGTTACAGAATTCTTGGTGGTTACAGTTGCCTGTGGAAAGCAGTTACTTTGAGGCCTGTGAGGACGGCTTGTGAGCTGAGACCTTGCCCTGGATGGAGTCAAGGCGTGAAAGAGAATTGAAAGTGGGAATGCCTTTTCTCATCATGTGACTCAGTGCTGCTTAGCGTCATGACCAGGAAACACTGTCTCCCGCCTTCCTGAAAGCTCGCCCCCTGAGGCGTGCTGGCCTTCGGAATCGAGGCGGTCTCCGGGCTGCCTTCCCTCCTCATCTCCTTCAGCTCCCCAGCTCCACATCCTCCTGCCTTGACTCTCGGGGTCCCCTCTGCTGCTGTGCTCTGCCCCCCACCCCAAGAGCCTGAGGTTTCGGTCTTTCCCATTTTCCTATCCACTGCAGCTTCTTCGTCCCTTCTTGCTTTCTTTTCTTTTAAATGTTTATTTTTTTATTTATTTGTATATTTGCACTGGGTCTAGGTTGCAGCATGCAGGATCTGTGTTGCCCCTATTGGGATCTTTTCACTGAGGCTTGCGAGCTCTTAGTTGCAACATAGGGGATCTCAGTTCCCCACCCAGGGATCGAACCTGCGTCCCCTGCATTGCAAGGCAGATTCTCAGCCACTGGACCACCAGGGAAGTTCTTCTCATTGCTTTCTTGAATGCTGCCTCTTGCCTCCCACCCCACGTATTCCACTTTGTCTCATGGTGTTGAGTACAGACACTGGTAACACCGTTGACTGACCATCCCTGGGTTACGTCTTTCCATCGCTCATTGGCATCATCATCTGATAAGGTCAATACTGCCATCACCCAGCGAGGAGGTTGAGCAGCTTCCTCCAAATCACAGGCTAACAAGGGGCCAGGCCAGGTTTCACAGTAAGGTCACACTGGTCCCAGAGTCATTGCACTTGACTCAGTGCCTCCTGCACTGACTCTGTAATTATCCACTTCTCCTGCTCACTCTGCTCCCAGGCCAAGCTCTTTCTGTATCCCCAGGCCTGCCAGGAAGCCTGCCTGTGGCTCCATAAACCTCTAGCAGGAACAGAACTGGTCAGGCGGAGATTACAGTGACCCCGGTGCTCACAGCCTGGCTGCCCTGGCTGACGTCACGC